AACTGCTCTGGGAGGACTCCAGCTCTGGGGATGGGTGTGGGGCATAAAGAGAGGCTGGTGTGGCAGAACATAAAGAATCAGCTATACTGGGCACATCTGGAATGTGTGTTTGCATGGAGCATGAGACCTGGAAACAGGGAACTCTTGGCTTGACTGAGCAGCATGAGGCGGGGCCTGGATGGCGTTAGTGGGCAAGGGCTGGAGAGAGCCTTTGGAAACTGGGGCAATCGGGCTGAACACCTCTGCACAAGGTGGGCCTTGTACTCAGGTGTGATGCTCTCGACGTGAGTCCCTGTGGCCAAGGCGAGGAGAGCCTCGGAGGCCTTGCCAAGTGCATTCAGCTCTCTTGCTAAGACAGCCTGAAGATTATCCCAGTGGTGCTTAGCAGACCCAAACCGGAACCCTGAAGGGGAAACGGGCCTCATAACCTCCCAGCAGATGTATGTGAGCACCACTGCAGTGCTGACGGCTCACTGGGCCACCAGAGACAAACGTCACCTTCTGAAAGAGTGACGAGACGACAGGAAGTCGAGACGCGAAGCCTTTGGCTCTTCAGGGAAGTTGCTCTGGTCAAGCACTCCACTGCTCTCCTATCCCCTCTCCCGGAGCCCACCTATTTGCCTCTGGTTGGCCAGAGACCTTCCTCCTGCCCATACCCAGCTCAGGCAGGGTGCCATCAAACAGCAGCCAAAAGAGGCAGGAAGACCTGTAGCTGGAAGAAGGACCAGCAGGGAGGTGCCATGGAGGGCAGGCCGCAGAGAACTCATCAGGATTTACTGCCAAAAGCCTTTGCCACCGCAGCACAGGCCAGACTGCTTTGCTACCCCCTGTTGCCACCGCAGCTGGGGTACCACATATTGCAGATCGAGAACAGAAAAAGATCATTTGCCCCACCACCACCACCACACACACACTATATGAAGGCTGTGCACATCCTCACAGAACCACAGTGAATGAATCAAGACTACAGAAAGAGTCAGGACTACGGAAAGCCAGGAAATGGCAAACACCTCTCCTGGTGATCTCAGCTCTGCCCTCCCCCCCAGGTAGCTCAGCACAGGATAGGTCAAACTCTTGCTTGTCTGTCTCAGGTGAGTCCTGCTTTGGAGGAAATTCTCAGATCACTCACTCTAGTTCTGCTACTGAGTCTCAGGACAGCTGAGGGCCTCAGGTGGCACATGACACCTGGTGACAGGGATGGTCAGCTCCAGTGCTCAGGGTCCATACCAGCAGCCCTGACTTCAGGGTGAGCTTGTACCTCAGCACTCCCCAAGCTCAGCCTTGTGGGAAAGGTGCCACACACAGCCATGCATAAGCCAGAAGGGTGGCAAACGTGGTCTGGGTCCCACCCTCTGTGGGTTCACCCTCCACTCTCATCTTCAGTGCCCATCAAGGACGCTGGGAACACTCAGGCCTTAAACAATCACAGAGTCCCCCAGTTAACATGCTGCCAGGGAAGGAAGTGTGCTAAAGGAAAGACGACGGCCGAGGGGTGCTAGGAGGCCTAGTTCCTTGATCTACTTCTGCTTCTTACCCACAGGCCCACAGAGCAACCACTCTGCAGGAAGCAGGAAGCCCGTGTGAGGCCAGGCAGGTCTGCCCGGTTAGGCCACTGGTCACCGGACTAGAGTGCCGGCCTGGCCCACAGCACACGGGGACCGGGAGGAATGCCGAAGCTCCTAGAGACCAGTTGTACATGTTCACGTGTATACAGTTTTTGTTGGTGTGTGCCCATACGTGTACCTGTTTGTAAAGACGTATCTAGGTATGTGTCTATGTATACATGCATGTGAATGTATGTCTGCCTGTTCATGTGCCTGGTGTGCACACATCTGCATGGCAGGGTGTGCCTGGTATGTGCATGGTTTCGATTCTGTGTATACCTATGTACGTGCACATATACACTTGTGTGTTGGTATTTGCCCGGTTATACATACATGTACATACATGTTTGCATGTTCATGTGCCTGGCATGTGTACACATGCACACACATACATGAGACAAAAGGCACATGCATCTTATCTGGAAATTTCAAGAAAAACAAACAAGAGACTGCTCTTATCCTTAATGAAGGTAACTTTTCTCAGTTCCTAAAAAAACAGAAACAGACAGCCTTGGGACCAAAAGGACAAACAGGACAGTCAGGCAGGCCCCTGCTGCCCACTGTGACAGTCGGTGAGTCCTGTACTGCCTTTCCAGATCCCTGGGCTGGGGGTCAGAGGCTGGCAGCCCCTGGTTGGCCCTGCATACTACCGTACTGTCAGCCCAAGCTCCCCTCCAAGGTTATACCTCTGTGCAGGGTCGGCCAGGGGCCGGAGCAGGACATCAGGTCATGTGAGGCAGACAGGATGACTCACAGTGGGTCTGTCCCAGTCTACAGGACAGGAGATTGGAATGGAAACACTAACAGAGCCGAGGCCAGAGGCGTTAGAATGGCTGAGTCCTGCCAACAGGACAGACAGCTGGGGGGATGGAGCGGGGTGAGGCCTGCGGGGTGGAGCACAGCAGGTCAGACACAGGAACCGTCCGTCTCTCAGGGCAACTTTGGTTTTCTGTGCACCAGCTCTGGACTTAGTTTCTCAATCCACTCTCCACTTCTGACATCTCCTATGCCATGTCTGCAGGCTTCCCATGCCCTGGGCTGACAGTCCATGGAGCATCACAGCAAACCTGTGGTCCCTCAAGACTCAGTCTGAGACTGAGGCAGCCATGGAGGTGGTGGGAGCCAGGAAACCCTCCTAGTGCGCAGAGGCCACTGTGCCTGCTGTACCACACACATGTAAGGGCACTCATGCCACCTGTGGACCACACAGTAGCATCTCACGCATTTATTTCTGCATTTCACGCAGTCATCTCTGCATTAAAACAATTTTTGAACCCTTGCTGGAAAGATCTGTAAAGTAAGTGTGGCTGAAAAGGCTCTCCAGGAGCATGGCGCCCGTGTGGGAAGGGCTTGGGACGCTCTCCTGTGGCCTTTAAAAATGCCCTGGGCTGTGCTCGCCCTCCTCTCTCCACCTAAGCAGTGCTGGGTGAGGGGCTCACTTCCAGGAACCATTCTGAAGGGCTATTTACAGAGTGGTGGCCAAGAGCCTCTGTAGGAACACAGCATTCTCAGACGCTAGCCTAGGGAGCTCCCAAGGGACACGCAAGTGACCTTGGCGGCCCTTCTTCAGGGTCAGGAGGCCCCAGGTTCTCAGCCTGCAATGCATCCATGGAGTGTCTGTCTCTCTTCTGTGGCGTTCTCGTTCTAGGTTTTGTTTTGTTTGTTTTTTCAAGACAGGGTTTCTCTGTATAGCCCTGGCTGTCCTGGAGCGTTCTAGGATTTTTAAGAAGCCGGATTGGGTTGTGGTAGGAGAAAAGGATGGTCCAGACACCCCAGAAAACGGGTGACCTCATGTGATCCTGGAGCTAGCCATGCCACTTTCAGATATGTGACCCCCCCCAAAAAAAAGTGTTTTGCATGGAAGAGCGGAGAGCAGCTGTGTAAGAGCCGCTGTCTAACACTGTGTACACTTGTTAGTGACAAGACACATGGTGCCAGGGAGGTACACACCTCCTGGGCACAAGAAAGCAAGACCTGAGGGTTCTACACAGAGACCTACCATGTGCTAATCTGGACATGTAAAAGTGCAGGAGATAAAACAGACACATGGCTGCCGGGGCTGGGGGTCAAGGGCGGTCACTGACGGAGCTGTGTCAGAGCTGTGACCAGAGTCTAGGGAGTGCCTGTCAAGAAGAATACGTGTCCTTTTTACAGATGCAGATTCTTTAAACAGACTTGGGGAAGAGCTTCAAGTTCTCAGCCAGTTCTCTAGGCTCAGGGCTCAGTGGTACCAACTCCCAGGCTGACCCAGGCAAACTGACTCGGGCTGTCCTACTGTGCATATGAACTGCGATGGAAGTGCACTGTCAGACAGACATACTCCAGAGGACTAGTGCATAGTATTACCAATGGGAGAACACTGGGAGCCAAGCTCAGGCTGGCTTCCCTATGCAGCCCGCTGCCTCCCTCCCCTCTCTCCATCCCACTTGGGGTGAACTGTGAAGGAAGGGGAGTTGAGGAACTGTCCAGGCTGCAGAGAAACCCAGGACACAGGGTGCCAGGAGCAGGCTGGGTAGTGAAGGGTGGATTGTGGAAGGTGTGGCAGTAGAGGGCTTCAGTGGGTCTGTCAGGTAGAAGATGCTGGTAAAGGGGCCAGTTGGCCCTGGGGTGCTTGCTAGGACTGAAAACACGTGACCCTGGGCTCTCAAGAGTGGCTGGGCCTCCAAACCTCAACAGAGACAGGATGGCAGATGGTAGTAAGCATTAAGGTGTACCAGGATGTGATGTCACAGAAAGCTCTTGGCTGCTCCTTCCCTAGCTGGCCTCAGCAGGACAGGACTGGAGGGAGACAAACTCATCTTGTCTGCATGAGTTTCCTCCTACTCTTAGGGACAAAAGCACAGGGTGGCACTTCTGTGAACCCCTCGACTTGGGCAGGCTGGGTACAGGGAGCAGAGCCCCCCAGCATGGCTGTGCAGCACCAGTGTCCGCCTCTCAGGAGTCAACCGTTTCTTCTCACGTTCCCAACTGGGAAGGGGCACTGGGACCCAGCACATGGTCAGATCTGAGATCTGAGAACTGAGGGCATGAAGGCCCTGTGTGAGCCCAGATGGCGCCAGGAGGTGCCCTGGCTAGAGCACTTAGGGCCTGAGCAAGGTCCCTCCACCCTGGCTGGCAGCCTGCAGCCTTCCTTCTTCCCTGTGGATGAAATCAGTCTGTGGAAAGGAGCGAGCTCAAGCAGAGCCAGAGCTTACAGCAGCAAGTCAGAGAGCGCCTGGTGATCAATGCCCACAGACAGTCCTCAGCAGCACAGGCTCTGCACACACGGGACACGGAGTGGCTGCAGACGTGTATCAGATGCCTGCTTGGCAGCTCTCCTTCCTGACACTGGTCAGAGATCACAAGATGACTTCCCATTCCACCTGACAAGATAGACTTGAAACTGCTTCCTCCCGGGCCGGCCATGGCTCTTCATTTCCACGCTGCTGGCTCCTTAAGCACTGGCAGCTGGAAGCCGTCACGGCCAGTGGTGTGTCTTTTCAGACTGAAGAGAAGACAGGATGAGGAGTCCGCAGGCCCACAGATAGTAGCAAGGGCTGGCTGGATGGCGGCGGTAGCAGAGGCACTGTAAACATCTGAGCACACCTCAGACGCATCAGAGTCAACCTTCTTGCTACTTGGGACACCCAGAGAGAACTGTCCTCTGGGTCTGAAGATTGACAGAGTGAACAGGATGGCAAGGTACAGTGCATGACCTGCTGACTGTGGCGGGTCCTAAAGTCTAGAACCCAAGAGGCCTGTGAACAGACAGGGCTAGCCTGGACTCCTGAATCTAGAATAGTGTGCATTGTGAAATGCTGAAATTTTAGTTAAAAATTTTTTTATAGGGGCTACAGAGAGGATTTGGTGGCTTAAGAGTACTGGCTGCTCTTTTAGAGGACCCTGGTTCAATTCCCAGCACCCACTTGGTGGCTCACAACCATCTGTAACTTAAGTCCCTGGGGATCTGACACCCTCTTCTGACATCAGCGGGCACCAACCACTCATACAGGATACAGGCATCCACACAGGTAAAACAACCACATGCCTAAGAGAAAAGTAACAAGAATTCAAAATTAAATGATAAAAAATTATAAAAGCAAAGAACTTGATTTTAAAACCAAAGAAATGGTTAGGAGTGCTTGTTGCTTTTACAGAGAACCTGAATAAGCCCAGTTCCAGGGAATCACACATCCCCCACCCCACCCCACCCCACCCCACCCCACCACCGCTCCCCTCTGCCTTCTCAGGCACACGCACGCACACCCACACATGGACACGGCATGGAGCGTTCCCAGCTCTGTGCTCTCCTGCTACCAAGTCATGCTGGGAAAAGACCCCTTGCCCATCCCCCCCCTCTGCCACAGGGCTCTTCCCTGCCCATTCCCCTTCTCCTGTCTCATCTCTGTCCAGTCGGGAACCTGTCTGCAAGTGAAGCAGGCCCTCCCTCCATGTTTTCTACATGTGACAGCTGTTGTGGCCTTTGGTGTTTGTTACTGTAGAGAAACGCAGAATATACAATCAGAGTGGGTAGGCACGGTGGCGAGCAGCAGGCAGAACCACAAGCATGAAACGGAGAGGCAGAGGGTGAGGGAGGCTCTATACCCTCAAAGTGAGCCCTCAGTGGCACACTTCCACCAGCCATGCCACAACTGCTGAATATCTGCAAACAGCAGCACCAACTAGGAAGCCGGTATTCAGATGCCTGACCCCAGAGGGGACACCTCATTCAAACCACCACATGGAACCTCAGTCTGAGTACAGCAGGTTCATCATGCCACACTGTAGTCACACTGTACACACCAGCCAGCCCAGGCCAACATATGCACGCACCCCCACCCGCACACACCACGCAGACATGTGGACTCTCTTTGGAGCAAACAAAAGGCTGGCTTTGGAGCTAGATCAGCCTTCAGGAGCCCCATTAAAATTATGGCTCCACTTTTATCACCCTCAATTTCCTTTGAATAAACAGCAACACTATTTCCTGGTCTCCACTACTATTTCGTTAAATTTTAAAGGGAGGAAGGGGCCATTTGTATGGAAACAAGATTATTTCATTTACCAAAGATGGCCTGGCAGAGCACTGGGGCTGTCAGTATCTTTATTTAAAGCCCTTCCCAGGAATTTACTGCTACTATGTCATTTCTGGCCAATAGGGCGGGAGGTCTGGCCACCCCAGGGAGCTCCCACAACATCTCAGCCTCCAAAATACGCCACCCCAGTTTCTAGAATAAGGTCTCTACAAAGGTCAAAACTGGCCGGAATCTTCTAGAATGTCTCAGAATCTCAAACGCAAAGTCCTGCCTGTCCCCAGCAATGGCAGTAAGTGTTGGTGACTCAGTGCTGGAGACCCTACAACCCTGTTCCTGGGAAATTGCCATCTGAGCCCTTCATGGGAGACAGACCACTGCCAAGAATCATGCTCAAAGGCCACCGTCAGCTACTGAGCAGCACTGGGGTTCTTACGGGTCGTGACGGTGCCTGGGCTTTCTTTCGTCTCATCCTGAACCTTTTAAGCCCAGGCCTGTTGGAGACACCTGAACCTGAGCCCTTACTCTTGATGCCAAGACTGTGCCCAGATATCCTTCCTCCATCACACAGAGGCTGGCGCTAGGCATCCCTGGGAAACCCTGTCTCTATGTAGCACATGTGCCCCTCCCTGGACCAGCCACGTGGCCACACAGCTTTTGCTTCTGTTGCAGGTTTGAGAGCTCTCCTGAAGATGGACCGTCACAACATGTCCTGGGTCCGCTACCCGAGCCGTGTGTCCCTGGCTGTGGAAGATGTCATTGCAGCACAGAGCGTCATTTCCAGGTGCATGCATGTGTACATAGCAGTGTGTGTCCCACTGAGCCTAGGGATAGGGCTCTTCAGTCTGAGCGTGTTCATCCGGGACCGTACTAGGCTGGGGGTGTTGGACAGGCTCCTTGCGGGCCTCACAGCCACTAGCATCTTGGTGACTCTACTGTCCCTCAATGCTGCTGGCCGACCTGACTACCTGCCCACGACAAACCTGGGCTGTGGAGTACTCTCATTCTTCTCCAATGCCTGCTACTTCATGGCCCAGTATCTGCAGGGAGCCATGCTTCTCCTATCCTTTCTGCCGGGATCGCCCTGCTGCCGGCTCTTGGCAAAGCCTGTGGCAAGCCTAGCTGCCATCGGGGGCTGTGCTGTCTGTAGCTCCCTCATCGTGGTGTCCTTGCTAGGCACATTTGGGGAGCTGCACACAACCACCTTGTGCCAGGCAGATCCGCTGACTGCATGGCCTGAATACGAGATTGTCAAGTTCAGCCTGGGCTTTGCACTTGCCCTGAGCTTCCAGATGGTTCTCTTCCTTCTGTATGCTACACAGCCAGTCTGGCGAGTGGCTCCTGCTCAAAGGGACACAGCCTCTGGACACTGGGTGGTACTGGCCATAGCTCTCAACATGTTTGCCTGTAGACTCTTCTTCAATGCGGTCCTCCTACATCGGGCCCAGCTGAAGCTGTGGAAGGATGTGGGCTCCCCCAGAGATGAGCTACTCATGAACCTCGCAGAGCTGGCCCTGTCTGGAGAGAGCTGTGTCAATGTGGTGGTCATCCTCTTCCTCCACACACCATGCAGGCTCAGGTTGCTTGGCCTCCTTGAGCACCTTACACAAAGATGCAGGCAGAGGCTGGACAATGGCATGTCCTTGAACAGAGTAGGGGGCTAGACAAGGCCTGCCTGCTGGCACAGGCCACATCCCTTGCTAGTGTTCAGGAGAGACTGCCTTCCCAGGGAGCTTGAGCAGGGTTCATAGGTTTTGGATGCTTAGCTTGCCTATATTCAACTCAACCTATGCAAGACAAGACAGTTTCTCTTCCCACACCATCAGTCATACCATGAGGGACACAGTGACATGGGCTAGCCAAAGACCATGGGTCTGCTGGAGGGTGTCCTGACTACGATGGTTGCCACCTTCTATGCAACAGTCCCGTCTGATGACACAAAGAGGAAGGCACTGTGGAAATAAACGCGGCTCCTGACGCCGGGACTGCGGCCACATCACCACACCAGGCTGCTCACTCACTCACAGCTCTGTTACGTTCTGGGGCTGTGCAGTTGTTGCCAGCTAGCTTTCAACTGTTGGAGAATTTGGGCAATGGAATTCCTGCCAGAAACGTCCGTTATGTTTGTCTTTTAAAAGTCTGCCATCACTGCGGCTGGAGAGATGGCTCAGACTCATCAGTCAACCTTCCTGCTACTTGGGACAGCCAGAGTGCACAGTGCTCTTGCAGAGGCCCTGTGTCAAGTTCCTAGCATCTACATTAGGTGGCTAACAACTGCCTGTAACTTCAATTCCAGGGGATCCAATGCTTTCTCCCACAGACACCTGCACTCATAAGCATATACCACTGCCTTCTCTCTCAGACACACATAGTTTAAAACAATACAAATAAATTTTTTAAAAATCTGTCATAATCCCTGGCGTGTTGAGACTATCACCCATAAGTGGAAGGTCACAAAAACAGCTGGCTTCTACCCAGTGACAATGGTGTCACAGTAGCTGCTGAGAGCTCCACTTATGTCCCATGTTGGAAGCCTGGTCACCAGTGGGGTAGCGTTAGGGATCTTTAAGAGGGGAGGCCACATAGAGATGATCACATAGCCCTCCGTGGCCTCTTTCAGGCTTTCTCCATCAACATGGGATCTCCTACGTTGAGCGTGCTCTCACCTCCAGCCCAGCCACGCCATAATCCCATCAGCTCTTCCCATGATCCCACCAGCCATCAGCTGCCCCTGGACCAGCCTTGTAGACCCTCACTCCACTTACTCAATGTAGGCAGAGCCGAGCTGACTGCCGTGCAGGTTCCGGGGTGTTCTCTCAGTGTGGTTCCTTCTTCTCCAAGTACCATATCCCAACAACACTGACTGGCCCACCCTTCCGGAAATCCAGTCTCTGTCCCCTCCACTGCCCACAGCCTGTCTTGCTCGGACAGAGCTCCTTTCTGTGCTTTGACCAGAGGATGTCTCAGGCAGGAAGCTGCTAAGCACAGGGCGTCATCCTGTCAGGAGCAGACCCTGCACAGGGGGTCATCTCCTACACCTGGCTCCACTGTTAGTGGCTCACAGTCATTCCCTCAGGTTCCCACTCGTGGCAGATGTGAAGGCCACTCAGTTAATTTATGAATGCCTGCCACAATGGATGCCCACACCACATGACTCAATAGAAAAGAGGTGGCAAAAGACTGTGTGCTTGAGCTACTGGGGCAGTGGACCCGGGCGGGAGTGGCAAACAGGAGAAGCTGCTGCTTCCGCCTCACGAGCTCCTCAGCGTGCCAGGCACAGAGTATGTTTAGAAACATGACCACAAAAAACGTGCACTGGGGCCTCTCAAATGACAGCATCCTGGTTTTTCAGGATGTACTTTGTACCAGAAAACAACCTCAGTGTCATTTCTTAGGAAGTGTCCACTATTATTTTAGGTGTATACTTGTTGCCCATATATGGATGTTTTGCCTGCATGTGTGGCTGTGCGTCACACGTGTGCAGTGCCTGAGAGGCCAGAAGAGGGCGCTGGCTCTCCAGAACCACCGATAGTTGTGAGTGGCCATGGATTGGCTGGGAATTGAACCCAAGTTCCCTGAAAGAGCAGCTCTTAACCTCTGAGCCATCTCTCCAGCCCACTGTCCTTTTTGCCCCTGGAATTCAACTATTAGGCTGGCCTGGTTGGCCAGTGAGCCCAAGAAATCCACTGTCTGTGCTTCCTCAGCACTGGACTAGATTGTAAGCCACCACACCTGACTTTAAAAAGTTCCAGGGGAGCCAGGCAGTGGTGGCGCATGCTTTTGATCCCAGCACCCAGGAGGCAGAGGCCAATCTAGTCTAAAGAGCAAAGTACCAGAGGAGCCAGGACCACACAAAGAGAAACCCTGGTTAGGGTCATGAGGCAAGTCTTAGAAGAGCCAACACCCTCTTCTGGTTTCTTAAGGCGCTGCATACATGTAATGCACAGCTATTCATGCAAGCAAAAACACCCATATTCATAGTTATTTGCTTACACATTTATTTTATACATGCACACACAACATACATGCCTTCACATGAAGGTCTGAGGACAACTTGCAGAAGTTGGTTCTCTCTTTCTACCATAAGGGTTCAGGGACTTAACGCAGGTCATCAGGATTGGCGGCAAATGTTTTCGTTTGCTGAGCCCTCTCCCAGCTACACCTGGTTTTTCGTGCACGGGTTCTGGGGATTAAACTCAGGTTTTCCTTGCAAATACTTTACTGACTGTGGTCCCTCCTCAGACCTGGACTTTTATGCTTTAAAAAGGCAATAAGCTGGGTGTGGTGGTGCATGTCTGCGATGCCAGCACTCAACAGGCTCAGTCAAAAGGACCCAGAGTCCAAGGCCAACCTGGGCTACAGATGAAGAGCCTGTCAAAACAAATGACAACAATAAGAACAATAAAAATAGGCTAGTGAGATGGCTCAGCGGTTAAGAGCACTGACTGTTGTTCCAGAGGTCAATTCCCAGCAACCACATGGTGGCCCACAACCATCTATAATAAGATCTGATGCCCCTTCTGGTGTGTCTGAAGACAGCTACAGTGTACGCATATACAGAAAATAAATAAATAAATCTTTGAAGAAAAAAAAAACAACAACAAAAATAGAGTTGAAGAGGACAAACAATTAAAACCACTGAAATCTGATTAGGGGAGGGGCTCCACTGAATTCTGTCTCTGTCTCTTGACCTGACTCTGTACCCACTATGTCATAACTTCCTGACAATTCCTATGAGCAAGGAAGGATCTTCCTACGTAAGGATCCAAGAAGAAGATGTAGAACAAAAGAAAGTAAAGGGGACACCTCCCAGTGCAGTTCTGAGTGCTCTGACCCAGGGCCAGGGCGCGGGAAATCTCAGTGTTGAAAAGGAAACTTGGAACTGATCACCAAGGGCAGGGGAGAGCCCTGTGGGTCCCAAGGCTCTCCTGGCTAAGAGAGGGCTTGTGACCTGTGAGTAAGGACCCATCTCTGCCACTCCTTCCAGAGCCTCACTCCATCAGCACTCCCCGGTATCGGCGGCCTCCCTGAATAGTACTCAGGGACCCCTCCTTCCCCATCTGCACTCGAGCTGGACACACTCACCTCTGGTTGCCAACACTCTCCAGGAATCAAAGGAAGCAACCAGAACGCTCCCAGCAACCAGGAAAGAGGCCCAGCTGTCAACACTGAAGCTACTGAAATTGTTCCCTCTGGGCACACGGCTGTGCCAGAGGGCTGGAGGGGGAGGGGGAAGGTACCAGCTGCAGGGCAGGGAAATGACACTCTCCTGGAGCTGTAAATTCCTTCCCACACTGAAAGATAGAGCTACTGAACTGGCTTTTTCTGGGAAACAGTCCCAGGAAGGCCAGGATGGCACCTGTAGTATACATCTGGGATGTCTGTCTGTAAGAAGCCTCCTGAAACTCACAGGACCAGGATCACAGCACTCGGAGGCACTCTGGATAACTAGAGAAAAATGCACAAATTGGGTCTAGGGAGATGCTGGTAAAGATGCACGAGAACCTGACCTCGGACCCCAGCATCCACAGTGCGGGGAGCTGTGTGCAGCGCCACACGCCCACGGCCCCAGTGAGGGGATCCCTGGAACTCACTGGGTGGTCAGTCTAGCTGAATCAGCAAACTCTGGGTTTACTGAGAAATCCTATCTCAAAAAATAAGCTGGCCAGTGACTGAGGGAAACACTGGGCATAGGCCTCTGGCCTCCATACATACATGCACACAAACACACAAACACATATACACAAAATGCATAAATGTTGTAGAATGGAACATATGGGCAAATTTCTCCAACTTTGTGCTGTGTTTTCCCGAAACACATGGCTTGTCACTTTGGGGCCAAAGCCAATCACATGAGCAGTCCTACAAATGCTTCTGACTGTCAGACCATCTCCCCAGTTGGAATCCGAGGAAGACCAGAAGAGCCCAGAGTACTGACGAGTGACCCAAATAAATGGCTGCCACTCTGAGCTCCTAACAGGTTGCTAAGAGGTAGGACGGCCTCACTGATGAAAGGAAGCTACCTCCCTGACTCCTAAGAAAGCAGGAAGGCTAACATCTGTGTGTCCAATCCGCAGCCACGGGCCACATACGTCCAAGAATAGCTAATAAATGTGCCCAACACACTCGTAAATAATTACAATGCCAAAAGGCTGGACATCCTGTCAAAGGGCCTTTGCAGGGCTGTCTTATGTCATACCCATGCTCCAGATGACCACCCAGAAGTGGGAAGTGAGCTGGGCAACGCTGCACACTGTCCATGCTCAGACTCTGGGGTCATGTCCCCTGAGGGATCTGACTGTCAGGCAAGAGGTGACCTTAGGCCCATGAGGTGCTGGGAGTGGTCTGTACTGTGGAAGAGGGCAGGAAGACCAACAGAGAAATGACGTTGGTGTGTGTGTGTGTATGTGTGTGTCTGTGGCATGACTGCTGGGACTAGGGATCCCTGGTGGCACTCTGAATCCTGACCTGGGGCTTTGAAACATGAGTGGGTTGTGAGCTTCGGTGAGGGTTTATGAAGGCTCTACCTTACTGCATCTGCTCCCATATAACATCCAGTACTGTCTGTATAAGGAGCTAGTGTGGGCCTGTCACACCGAACTTCCTCTCACGTCTCTCCCTTTAGCCTTGAGTCTTATGTGGGGTGTGAACTCTGTAGCCTGTGCCCTTCCTGCCATGGTACAGTAGCCAGTGTAGGTTCCTCAGACACATCACCATTAAAAACAACTGTAGACACAGGCACAAAACATATTGCCAAATGCACACAGACATCAAACCCACGAAGGGGCAAGCAGATCTGGAAGGACATGAGCAGGCTGGTACAAGGACAAAGACCCTGGCCCAGACTCAGCCACTAGCCTGCCTTCACCTGCAAATGCGCACACTGTATCCCTCAGGTTCTGTCCTCTGTCAAGAAGCCACGCCCAGAGGCAGGCTAGCTCTGAAGAGGGATCCTGAGACTCTATTATGGGAGAGCACAGAGGAAACCCTCACCAAACGAGGTACTTCCCACTGTATTGACAGAATCTTCGAGGTCTTTCTCATCTCTTATCATACTGGAACCTACGGAGGTCAGAAGGCAGACATCCCCTCTGCCTGGGGCCCGCTGCGCCTCTTAGCGGAGTGGTAGGACTAGACAGAGGATTTGACTACCTGCTATGTTAAAGGGAAGGCTGGGCTCACAGTAAGATGCTCCCCCAGAATTTCAGCTGCCAATCCTGCACCTGTGCATGACATCAGAGCACCCCAGGGACTCCCCAGGAACCCAGAAGACAGTGAAGGCCCTCTCAGTCCTCCAGCACCCTGGAACCTGAGCATGGGCTTGCAAGAGTGGGGAGTTTCTAAGGGAGCGGCTATTTTTAAGTGGCACGCCTTGGCTATTTCAAGGCTTGAGTTTCTGTTTTATTTATTTAATTCAAAAGGAAGCTGTGTTTTCTCATGATTTGTTTCTTCCAATATGGTGTTACAGGCGTTGTTTTAATGTTGACGTCATCCTGACTTGGTAAGCTGGACAAAAGACACTAAAGGACCAATGGGCTCTTTCCAATGCTGCTCAAACAAGAAAAAGCCAACTCCACAGTCAGGATTTCTACAGCTCAAAGGGGCCCTGACTTAGTAGTTTTCCATTAAAAATCTTATTTTTAATGGAACTCTGCTTAAAGATATATACATTTCCAAAAATATATATCTCAAAATTCTAAGCCAGTATCCTGTAGAAACCCAATCATGTTTGCAGCAGGAGGCGTCAAGCATGGCACAGGGCAGATCAGTGTTTTCTAGAGACCCCCTGCAGCTGTCTACATGCAGGTAACTGCTTCATTTTTTTATACAGAAATTTTATGTGTACGACTGTTTTACCAGCATGTACAACTGTACCACCTGTGTGCCTGGCTCCCAGAGGCAGAGAGAGGCAGTGGGATTTCCTAGGACTGGAGTTACAGATGATGGTGGGCCACCATATGGGTGCTGGGAATTGGACCTGTGTCCTCTTCAAGAGCAACAGATCTTAACTGCTGAGCCATCTCTCCAACCCAGTACCTGCTTCTTCCAGCTGCTGTTCCCACACTGGGGACAGCATGTGGTGGTGTCTGTGGTCCTCAGCCAGCAGAAGCATGCTCAGAACACAAATGCCACTCAATGTATTCAACATCACAGATTGCGAGCAATCAAAAAGATATTAAGATAAAAACACAGAGGGCTGCACTGAAGGGGAAGAGGTGGAACCCTGGAGGTCTCTTGCCAGCCAGCCTAGCTGTATTGGTGAGTCCTAGGCCAATGAGAGACCATATCTTAAAAAAAACAAAACCCAAGGTAGACAGAACCTGAGGAATAGCTAACAGAGGTTCTCTAGCCTCCACATTCACACATATTCATACATGCATACACACACACACACACACACACACACACATATGTGAACATGCACACGCACTCAGATACAAAGAAGAGAGTACAAATGAGACCAATAAACTCTAAATGATTATGAATACATAACCACTTGACTGGATAGCTCAGGCTGGGGCTGTAGGAGGTCTGATCACGTGGCGAAGCCCCGTTCCCCATGCTTGTCTCCACCCCTGGGGCAACATTTCTAAGACAACCCCAGTATTGTGGATGAAACTCCAACAACCGGAAGGTGGGATGCTTGGGGAATAGCAATAAGTCACAAGACCACTCGGCCTTGCAGGGCCGGTGTCTCCCCAACCCTGGCTATACAAGGCCTAGAACTAGAAACAGAGAGAACAGGGTGCCCAGTTGACCCCTGGGCAGAGGGACATTAGCCCCAGCTAATATTAGAGCAGAAAGCCCACCTGGATTCCTAGTTTCTGATCAAAATGCCTGCTACCTTTGGACTGTATTTCCCACTGCAAGCATCCTTGGGAAAACTGTAGCTTACATTCACTATGTGACTGCTGCCCTACTATGCTGACTGAGGAAACTCAGTGTTCAGTTTTAAAAATAAGCAAAGGTAACAGGGCTTCAACAAATGAACAAAGATTCTTACCTAAAAGGTAAGCAATATTATTACAATCCTTTCACACTTCAAAAAACTATTCAATGGATGAAAATCAGCAGTCACACTGGAAACTTCCATAAGATACATGTCCAGCAGGGCCGTTTTCACTGTCTGCATGTGGGAGGAAAAAAACTGCCAGCAAAAAAGTGGTTAATGCTGGCCTGAAAAGGAGGCTGGCCAGAGCCCAGTGAGTAGGCTTGGGAAGTCTATAAAGGAGGCGCTGTGCCAAGGGGGCCAGACGCTGCGGGACAGCCACAGGCATCGCAGAGGGACAGCCACAGGCATTGGGAGCCTGCTCCCTTCCAGACCCAGTTCTCTTCTCTCCCTCTCCTGCTGGATCCCTGCTGGGCACCATCCCCAAGGTGCTGCAAGTCCAGGGTCACTCCCTACAAGCAAGCTCCAGGTGTACCTCCAGAAGATGCTTCAGTGACTCCGTGGCACAGGTAAGAGTTACATTCATGCCCCAGGTTCCGGGTCTGCATCTGCCTGGGAACTTCTTGCTGGGGTGGTGTGGGGTGGGGTGGGATGGGATGGTGGAGCAGGCACGCACTGTCAGCCTCCAGGACAGTGTGCTGGGTGTGAGCAAGCCAGGGGCTCTGCCCAAGTGCAGGCAACAGCACGTCTACCTAGAGCTCGGTCCCGGCTGGGTCCCGGCTACACCCTGTAACACCACACTCTGTCTGCCACGGGAGTCCTGGTGGCTTAGAACTGTTTAAGGGACAGGGGCCGCATAAGCCTAGCAAAAACCTAGCCTTGTTTCCCCAGATCTGGACACACAACAGAAAATCAGAAGGACACTAACACTGATCATTAGATTAACACACCAGCAGTTTGGACCAAGGACAGAAGCCAGGGTGTCATTTCTGCCACGCGCCCGCCAGAACAGTCAGTTGACCAGATCTAGGGAGATACCCATCCGAGGGCTCTGCTCCCCTTGGGCTGCTGGAATTGTGGCCAAGCCCCAGCATTCCCACAATCTGGGTGAGTACTTTTAAGTTTTCAGGTTTTGTTTGTTTCAGCCCCAACTGGCCGGAAGCTCACTATGTAGACTGGGCTGGCCTCGAACTTAGAGCTCCGCTTGCCTCTGATTCTTTTGTGCTGAGATTAAATTATAGACCAGGCTCAGGTATCTGGTTGGAACTCAGAAGAAATGAAGGGAAACCCTCCACACTGTAGTTGGACTAAGAAGACTGGTGCTTCTGTGGCTCAGATGGGTACGACTATGAAAGATGGGTTGGCCACCCACACCCATACATCCCAGACAGCATGTGGTCAAGGCAGTGAGCTGCCCCATTTCTTCTTCTCCTTATTTTAGTGAAGCAGTATTTTGGGAAAGAAAGGTCAATTTAAACCTTTGGTTTGCTCTTGCTTCACCTCAAGGCTAAAAGCAATCACCACAAAAAAAAGCTGTAACAGAGGTGTGTTTTCAGGAGTGTATTTCAGAAGCACTTTGTTGTTGCGCCCAGACACTGGCGCTGCGGCTGCCCGGGGCAATGTGGACACTAAGCAGCATTCCCGGCTTCCACCGACCAGATGCCAGCACCCATCTTCTGCTCAGTGACAACCCAGGCTCTCCAGACACAGCAGTGCTGCTGAGAACCTAGGTGACCCAAGAGAGCCCCAAGGCAGAGTCACGCATGCTAGGAATCATCCCCAGGGACAAGTAAAACTCAGCTTCCAGGCTGCAGTGCCTAAAAGGTTCTATTTCACAGTAACTTGTGAAAAGGACAAAATGTTTTCCTTCCTTCTCTTCTTTCTTCCTTATTCCTTGAGATTGGGGTCTCAGGCTGTTGCCTAGGATAGTCCTGTGCTCCAGGGATCCTTCTGCACCAACCTCTGGAATAGCTAGGAGGTCATTCCCTACTGTTTAGTGAATTTGAGGACAGCCTGGACTATGGGAGAGACCTAGCCTCAAAACCAGCGGTGTGAGGTGGGCAGTGGTGGCACAAGCCTTTAATCCCAGTACTTGGGAGGCAGAGGCAGGGGTATCTCTGTGAGTTGGAGGCCAGCCTGGTCTACAGAGTGAGTTTCAGGAGAGCCAGGGCTGCCCAGCGAAAACTCGTCTCAGTCAAAAGATGATACAGCTGTGTATATGAGCGCGTATGTGTGCGTGTGTGCGCGTGCACGCACACGCAAAGGAAAGATACTGAAGGTGGAACCCACAGCTCTCTTGTGTGCCAGGTAAATGCTTTACCACTGAGCTACATCCAGCCCTCAAAGAACAATGCATATTCTTTACTTGTTTTCATTTTAGACTGGGGGCAGTTTACTCCTGGTACCCACACTCGTACCACCACTAGTCAAAGAACAACATTTCTCTTACCACTTTACCTCAAGAGAAAAGGCAGCTCCCACCCCGTGGGCTTCTTGGACTACCTTTGAGAAAGACTGGGTTTTTCCCTTCCCATGTCACTTCTCTTTCCAACAGCTGCTGAAGTTAATGAGACTTCCTGTCTCAACAAACAGTAGTTTTCCTCAAACTTCCACACTACACACAGTATTTCATGAGCCAGCGATCTGACTGGTCCCACTGCATCTCCCATGACTCACAGACTGTCACCAACTGTGGGCGCCCTTAGGGGACAGAAAGGAACACTCCGTATCCATCTCTTCTGTTCCAGCTCAGGGCACAACCTCTCCAAGATGGCAAGAGCCGGAGTTCAGGCAGACCCTGTTACCACTCATGCACTGCACCTGGCTCCTTCAGGACGCTCAGGAGTCTAGATGCTTAGTCTTGCCCCGTCTTCCTCTACAGGTGCCCAGAAGGTGAGCAGGCAGCAGGCGTGCCTGCCCAGCACCAGCCCAGATATCAGACACCCTGTTTGCCCTTCTGGTTTTCTGAGAACAACAGACTCCCAGGACGATTCTTCCTGCCTCACAAATGCCTGGCTCACTGTCAAGGGAATCACCTTTGTGAAGATGGAGCTGTCATGCAACACAGACTCCTGTGACCCTTGCAGCAAGTCCTGAAAGCTGCCGAGGGAAGCCATGGATGCGACTACTCCAGCCCCAAATGTTGGAGTGCAGATCTACCTAGGTCCTGTGTGGCCAGCCCCTTCCAACAGCACCCCTTTGGCCCTCAACTTGTCCCTGGCACTGCAGGAGGACGCCCCGGGGAACCTGACTGGGGACCTCTCTGAGCACCAGCAGTACGTGATTGCCCTCTTCCTCTCCTGCCTCTACACCATCTTCCTCTTTCCCATCGGCTTCGTGGGCAACATCCTCATCCTGGTGGTGAACATCAGCTTCCGGGAGAAGATGACCATCCCAGACCTGTACTTCATCAACCTGGCTGCGGCCGACCTCATCCTGGTGGCGGACTCCCTGATTGAGGTGTTCAACTTGGATGAGCAGTACTACGACATTGCGGTGCTCTGCACCTTCATGTCCCTTTTCCTGCAAATCAACATGTACAGCAGTGTCTTCTTCCTCACCTGGATGAGCTTTGACAGGTACCTGGCGCTGGCCAAGGCCATGCGCTGTGGCCTCTTCCGAACCAAGCACCACGCACGGCTCAGCTGTGGCCTCATCTGGATGGCCTCGGTGTCCGCCACGCTGGTGCCTTTCACAGCCGTGCACCTGCGGCACACCGAGGAGGCCTGCTTCTGCTTCGCAGATGTCAGGGAGGTGCAGTGGCTGGAGGTCACACTGGGCTTCATTGTGCCCTTCGCCATCATTGGTCTCTGCTACTCCCTCATTGTACGGGCCCTCATCCGGGCCCACAGGCACCGCGGCCTACGCCCACGCAGGCAGAAAGCCCTGCGGATGATCTTTGCAGTAGTCCTTGTCTTCTTCATCTGCTGGCTGCCGGAGAACGTCTTCATCAGCGTCCACCTACTGCAGTGGACGCAGCCGGGGGACACTCCCTGCAAGCAGTCTTTCCGTCATGCCTACCCCTTGACAGGCCACATTGTCAACCTTGCAGCCTTCTCCAACAGCTGCCTGAACCCCCTCATCTACAGTTTCCTGGGAGAGACCTTCAGGGACAAGCTCCGACTCTATGTGGAGCAGAAGACGAGCCTGCCGGCTCTGAACCGCTTCTGCCATGCCACACTCAAGGCAGTCATTCCAGACAGCACGGAGCAGTCAGATGTCAAGTTCAGCAGTGCTGTGTGACAGGTACCTCCCAGAGGGAAGAGGACAGGGGGAGCAGGCTGGCGCTCAGACCTGCACACGCCGAGCACAGGAGGTGGGTGAGCTGAGTCACGTCACACTCTCAAACCCCATGGCTTGGGGGAAAAGGTCACATTGCTGGGTCATCTCTGGGGCTGCTGGGATCTTTCCTGACTGACCAGCTCATGGGTGATGAGATCAGCCATAGACTCAAGGCAGTGGGCCATGTGACATTGACCTCTGACCTCAGAGAGCACTACACAGGCCTGCGGCTTGGTTTTCTTTCCATACCCTATGTTCCCAGAACACAAGTCTGTTATTGATAAGTGACAGATAAAAAGGACAGGCCATGCTATGGGAGTACCATGTTATATTTCTGCTACATGCCTGCTACATGGAGGAGTCTCGAGACAGAATATATGTACCAGACCCAAATTGGCTACATTCCCTTTGCTTGTGATGTGTAGCTGACCATGTATACACTGTCCAGTGCAGCCAAACCTAGGGATGCCAGAGCCTCCTTCCTGTCTTCCGGAAGGCTTTGAGGTCACCCCAGATGCCACTCCTAACTCCTGAGTGAACAGCATGTCTAAGCTGAAAAGGCCCTTTAATAAACCGCCTTCCTGCTCTGGGATGCTCTTCTCACAAAGCTTGTTTACAGGGTGTTTGTCCTTCGTGAAGGTGGAGAGACTCTGGGTGCTGCTGTGCAGGCCGGGGGCGTGTGGGGAAGTCTGGGCGCTGCTGTGCAGGCTGGGGCTCGTGGGGAAGGACTCGCCTCCACTGGGAACCCTGAGGTGTAAATGGGTTTCACTAAAATGTAAAAAGAAAGAGCGAGAACTAAGGGGGTTCACTCAGTGACTGTGAATAACGGGCCGTCACATGATGATTCTTCTTTGCTCAGTGATTTCTGGGGTGGTGGGTGCATGGGGGAGGGCGATGAGAAAGCCACACTAGTACAGTCAGCTGCATCCTTGCAAAAGAACACCATGCCCCACCCTCACATACCTGAGTGCCATTCTGAGTACTCTCTCTCCTATGTACCAATAGCCAATCCATCTAGCTGGTTATGCCTGGCACTTCTGGGATGGAGAAGGCCACATCCTGTGTTGCACCTGGGCACCAAACATGTCTTCTTTGTTACTTATGTTGACAGCACACTCAGCTTCATTTAGGGGTCTGCACAGGACAGCTATCTATCCCTAGAAGACTCTGGACTGGGCAACATGCCCCGGGCTGCGAGTCAAAGGACCTGGGACCAGGATGGGGGGGCCTCTGGTCCTGTAACACAGGATAAACTGCTTCATGCTCAGACTCTATCCCTGAACATCTGCCTGGGCAGCTGACCATGTCAAGAGTCCCATGGCTCTGGCTGAGGACCCTAAGGTAATATACAAAGTAACATGTAGGTGGCAAAAATGACCCTTGTTGTCTCTAAAGAATATGCTATTTTCCATTCAAACCTATGACTCTGCCTTTTTATTCTGATGATAAGTTATATTTATAGATAAGATAAAATTTTTAAAAATCCTGTGATATTTAAGTTATTAAGTTAAATATTAAAGATATTTAAGTATCTTTCCAGATATTCAAGAACAATATCTAGAAAGAGAACAGATGGTTCAGTGACTTGGCAAAGCCAAGGCATCAGCCACACTACACAGGACACCGACTCCCTCGGCCTCGGTGTTTTGTCAGGCACGGCTGGTGTGGGGTGGCATGGCCAGCAGCCTGGAATGCACTCCTGGCTTCAGTGACCCTGAGGATACATCGTCAAGAACAACACCATTTATCCCCTACTATTACCTGAGTCCCACGTGGGGCTGGCTTTCTACCTGGGCAGGACACGGGACACTTCCTCAAGGATGGTATTAAAAACCAACAGGTGAAGCACCGCCATGGGAGGTGGGCAGGTAAAAGGCTGGTGTGTGGCTCGGTCTTGCGGCCTACAACTCAGGTAGAAGCCCTGGCTCTACCGCAGCCAACCCAAAGGTAAATGGCGCATGCAGCCTTTGCATAATCAAGAGGGGTAAGCCCTAAGACAGTTTTGTCAGCAACCTCTAACCCCCAGGTGATGTGGCCAGCTCTCAAGGTACTACTAAACACAGGCACAAAGCAGGGCTTAAGAAGCTGAGATGTGTGGCTCCAAACCCTGACAGGGTGACATTGTTGTAAATGCCTTATTTAAATTGCCCTTTTGACCTCAGTGATTGACAAGAAAAGACCCTCCTTCAAACTCACAGAAAGGGGCAGGGCTGGGCCTCAACTCTTTCAGTGTGCCTAAGTGAGAGGCATCTGCTGGCTGCCTTCAAGCCAAGGTGATGCACAGATTCCCAAAATAAGCCAAGACTTTCAGCTTTGCCTAGGGAGGTAGCCAAGACATCAAAAAGGGGACAACAGGCCCCTGAAGACACCTCTCCCCCCCACATTTAATAGAGAGAAAAAAGTAGATGCTTGGAGTCTGTGAACACTCAAAGCCATGGGGAGTAAAGGATGCAGCCAGGAACAGAATCTCAGCCTCCAACCCACTTGGCAGCTCTGCAGCCTGGACAGGGAAGACCGTGGGGAGCCAGGATACACCGAAGCCAGCCTCAGCCTCGGTCACCCTTCCCTCTTTATGGCTACAACCCCAGGGCTTATATTTACAACTGCGGCTGCCCAAGCCCCAGACCTCCTCAAGAGACAGCACTCCTTCCTTGTGGCAAGCCACCCTTGGGCGCTCTAAACAGCAGCCAAGCGGTCCACTGGGACCACTGTAGTCCTAAGATCACGCAGGACAGGCCCACTCTGCTGCATACAACAGTAGCCCCTCAACACAATGCCACCTTCTACCTCAGGCTCCCGATCATAGTCGCCTACAAGCGAGGCTGTGGCAGGTTGGAGCCAGGCAGAGTTGGAGCTCCTACCTCCTCTTTGCCTCAAAGCAAGTTCACATGCCGTCTGCAAATGAGAGGAAAACTGCTCTGGGGCTGGGGGTGGGGGCTGGGATGACAGATGTATATCCCAAGTCCCAGGGCAAGGTGGCCAGAAGGGTAAGGCAAGAAAGAAGGCTGGACTTCGGGGGACAGAGCAGGGCAGAGGTGGCTGGCTCTACTACAGCCCATTTGACCCCCCTTGAGAGTGTGTCCAGGAGCTGAGCTGAGGCTAACACAATTATTCTTGGCAGGAACACCACAAGATAAAATCAAGGCGTTTTAATTACACTGCTGTTTCCTGGTAACCTGGCTCACTCCCGTGTAAAAATGTAGTTCAGACCCTAAGAAGGGGAGAGGCAGCTATCGTGGGCATGGAAAACCTGCTTAGAGCTGGAAACCATTCCATCACCTACTCAGAGCTTAATAATGCGCTCTCTCTCCCTTGTACTCCAGCCCATCCACCCTTCCGGCCCTGGGGAGCAAGACCTAAGGGACAATTCATTATCTTCTCCTTGTTTGGGTGGGTCAGCGGAGGCCAGCTGCCTGCCTGCCCCAAGAGGCAAGTATTAAGGATAGTCAGCAGGCTTGGCAGCACACTCATCTTTTGGGGTTCTTTCCCCCCAAAAGGCTATGCGGTATCTCAGTATAGTTCTGCTGCAGTCCTGAACACGGACCATAAGCATGCCAGGGAGCAGCCTCCCCTCCACTCCTCCACACGCATGTGTAAGATCCAGTCCTGACTGTCTCTGATTCATTAGTGCTTTTAAAAAATCTGTGTGTGTGCGCGCGTGTGTGTGTATGTGTGTGTCTGTGTGTGTGTACAGGGGCTGGGGAACAGGGGATGGGAGTTGTCTGTGTGTGCACGTGTGGAGGCCAATGGTTAATGTAGGATGTCTTCCCCTATTGCACCTGATGATAAAAATCCTACTTTTTGATGAAGGCTCTCTCACTGCGCAGTGATCCCAGGGATCTGCCTGTACACACACACACACACTCTCACACACACACACACTCACAGACACATACTCACACACACACAGACACAGACACACACACACACACACATACTCTCTCTCACACACACACACACACACACACACACACATACTCACCCCCACACACACAGAGACACACACAGACACACACACTCGGTAAACATTAAAACCTCACTAACATATATGCCTTCAGCCCTATTGGAAGGGTGGGGAACGGACTCCAAGCAAACCCCAGGAGACTGTCTTCTGCAGCACTGGGATGACCGCTGAAACCATTCAGCTGTGTTGTATCCAGCCAAGCACACTGGGCTCCACTTGTTCAGAGTCTAGGACCAAAGGAGGGCAGCCACAGCAGCCTGGCCCCTCAGACCCGGCAGGTGCAGGGTGGGAGTGGCTGGAACATGTGGCTCTCAGTGAGTACGGCTCAGAGAGGACAGGGTCACATCCAGGACAGAGGAGATGGCCTAAGGGCTTCCCATGGGCCAAACTGGGATGATTTGAGCATCGGGATAATTAAGAGGAAGCACCAGTTACAAACAGTTATAGACTATCAAAGAGCGGCCATGACTCCATTCCAGTAATAACTGGGTAAATATAACCTACATAATAAATACAACGTAATTAGAAGCCGAGAATGAGCTGGAGCATGGGCACCGGGAGGAGGAGGCGGGGGTCTAGCCTATGGGAAGAGTTGGCTGGCAGAAGCGGGGATCTGGAGTAAGACCAGTCCCTCAGTAGCCTTCCCTAGGGCTCACTCATGTGGCCACAAGTCCCCAGTTACGAGCCTTGGGCCCTCGGTGAGGGGGTAAGGCTCCTGCAAAGCCCAGTGTGTTAGAGCAGGGAGCTCCCACAGGGCAGAGGGCACAACCCCTCCCATATGGTTACACTGGCATCACCCGGAGTGGCAGGGATCTACACACCTGATCTAACTGGGAGCAAACATCAGGAAAAACCCAGAAGTGGTGACAGGGAGCCAGCGCACACCACAAAACCCTAGGATACAAGAGATGAGGACTGAATGACGATTCCAAGTTCAGGTGAAAGGGGTACAGATCCCCAGCCAAAAAGGGGGTTGGGTGGGCATGGAGATCCAGGTGGGATGGACTACAAAAAAGATGCACCCGGTGCGGGGCTGGACGGTCAGGCATCCAGATGCAGACTGGCCACGTGAGACCCTGTCTCAGAAAAAAAAAAGTCTGCAAAGGCTGTTACTGGGGGACAGTTAAGGTTGAGTACCTATGCCCAGTGTCCTGAGCCTGCCTAACGGGACCACTTCCTACATCCTCAGCACCCACCGAGACAGTCAAAGGTGGAGAGCATTCTGGGGCTGGGGAGACAGCTCAGCCAAGCACGAGGCTGCGCATTCATCTGAAAAGCCAAGCATTACTCACGAGCCTTACCCAGGACTGACGGGGAAGGGGCAGAAGGGTGGGAACTGGACAGGACGGGGAGAGGTGAGAAGCTCTCGGCTGCACTCCCTTTTACGGATGTGTCCTTCTCTGAAGAGCCATCCCACCCTCTGCCTGGCTCTGCTGTCCCTTCCCCACGGAGGGGAGACACCAACACCGCTCCTACTTGCCAGTAGCTGCAGCAAAGTGTGTTCTGAACAAGGGCAGGCTTAAGCCATCTGGAATCCTCGAAGCCACCCTCCAGCATTTACTGGGAAGCTCCTAATTAAAGTTTTCTCTTCTCACTTACTGCCTGGTAATTCCAGCTTTATTTTCTCTTTCACAGTGGGAAACTAATTATCTGGGATGCCTTTTCATGGGCTTCTCAATTAAAAACAGGGAAGAGCTTCAGTAGAACTGAAG